AAAGAGAGAGAGAGAGAGAGAGAGAGAGGGAGGGAGGGAGGGAGGGAGGGAGGGAGGGAGGAAGGAAGGAAGGAAGGAAGAAAGAAAAGAAAAATAATAGGAACTCACTTCTGTGAGTTCCACAATTTTTATTACACTCATATTATTTCTGGTTATAAGGATATTTTGAATATTGCTGGTATATAAATTTCTATACATGCCTTTCTCATGTTATGGTGAACTGCATTGTGTTTAGTATGTACTTATCACTAAATCTGTTGAGTAAGTATGCACTCATTCTAAGTGAATTTTTCCAAAGAGTTGTGCAGAGAGTTGTCCCAATTTACAACTTTAAGAGTACCAACTGTACAATTTACTGAATCATATAGTTCTATTGGTTTGTTTATTATTATTTTAACTATTCTGGTAAATTATACCTCATTGAAGTTTTGATTTACATTTTCATCATGCATAATAATGCTAAACACATTTCCAGATGCCCTTTGTCAATGTCAACTCTTTTTGTAAAAGGCTGTTTTACATAATTATAAGCTTCAAACCCTTTTAATAGCAATAAGTTATGTTCCAACAGCTACCAAAATGCCTGAAAGCAAATCCTGAATCCATCACTCTCTAGTCCAACCTTGGAAGACAAAAGAAAAATGAGGAGGAACCCAATAGAGGGATGCTTTTGGAAACCCTTGTCAAGAAATTCCCGTGGACTCTCAAATGAACATTTGAAAATTGCCTTGTCCCTGTCTAGAACTCATAATGCTAATTACTCTTGCCTTTACTTCTCCTTCACATCTCCTGTTCACCCTTCAAGGACTTTCCCCCCTCGAGAAAAGAGTTATGCAATTTGGGAGTCTTTTAGATTGAAGCGGTCCTCCAATTGCCTCATCCTGCACCCCTGTTCAACATGGAAGAAGCCAGAGTGGTCTGCCTCCTGATTCCCTATTGGCAATTTGGGTAACCTCTTCAGAGGATGGTGTGATAAGAATAGGAGGTAGGAATTGGCTAGGCAGACCCCAAAGAAAAGCAGCGAGTTTCTTGGCTAAAACTCACAACGTCCTTGAGCCTCTTAGTAACATACTCCATTCCAAAAGCCAAAAATGTTGAAAACATTTGGGAACTTTTATCCAATCCTTAAAAGATTTTAGGGTTACCTCTTCAGGGGGGGATGTTACATTAGCCAAAAGCCCCATAAAAAAATAAATAAATCAAAGAAAAAGAAAGAATACATGAAGGTATCAGAAAAAAAAAGTGATGGGGAGATATGGGAGGAGTTGGAGGGGAGAGAGTGGGCATGGA